TTTGAACTGCAAGGTTGGCGGTTCAAGCTCACCAGCTGCTCCTTGAAAACACTATACAGGGACGCTATGGGTCAGAATTGACTCGATGGTATTTAACAACAATATGGCCATTTTTAGGATCCTCGAGAGACCCAAACCATGTTCCTTTGAAATGTTCTTTGAGTTTGCATAACAAAACAAAGTTTTAAAAGGTAAAGATTAAGAGTGTAGGTTGGATGGAGTAAGATTTTCTAACTAAATTCTTGTAGGACAGTCCTTGCTACCCTCAAAGTATGAGCAGGTACATTGTTATGATGTGGGGGGAGGAAATATTCAGCCCAGTTTTCTGGTCTTGTCTTACCCAGGCAGTTTTCAATTTTCTGAAACCTTCTTCACAATAAGACCTCATGTTCATCCTGTGTCTTGGAGAAAATCTGATTATCCCTTTGGAATTCCAACAGTCCCCATAATCTTCTGAACTCATCTCTCTGATTTGAATTTAATTGGCCCAGCAGATGCTCTCAGAAGCCACTTCTCTGAGTGGCCCTTCCTCTCTGGACCACAGTGGTATATCCTGTACTCATCCCTGATTATAATTCATTCCACTGCACAACTTTTATTAACTTCAGTCTTGCTTAAAAGACAGATATAAAGATCTGCTCTTTGAGCTAGATGGTCTGTGCATAACAGTTTTATAACCTATCAAGCCCAGAAGTTTCCTAAGGCCAAGATAATCACTTAACATTTAAAATGCTGAGCTGTGTGAGATCCCAACTTGAGTAGTTAATCAAACCACTGGTGATTCTGTAATATTCTTCCACCAGTTTCTGGACTTCAGCCACAGTTTCTTCATTCATCAAGGCTGATAGTCTTTCCAATCTTCCTTAAAATTTGATACCAGTCCTCACTTCAAAACTTTTTTTTCTAAGAACAAACAGTATCCTTACTTTCTGGAAGACCCTCTAAAGAGACTCATTCAAGTGAATTACTGAGAGAACCTGTCTGCAGTCATCACTGATCACAGAGACATGCTTAAGCATGTTTTGTTTGGAATAAACTTGTACATGTGTGAACTGGAAACCTAGTTGTTGCTGTTAAGTGCTGTTGAGTTGGTTCCAACTCGTAGTGACTCTGTACAGGGTTTACAAGGAGTGGTTGGTTGGTTTGAACCACCAACCTTGTGGTTAGCAGTCCAGTGCTAATCCTACATCACCACACCAGGACTCCATAGTTTGTCACAATATGACACCAACAAGCATCTCTTAACTTTCTTAAGGAGATTTTTCTCTCAGAAATATTTTGATGCGTAGCTAGTCTGTCCATTATTTTTTCTCTATATACACTTGTATGCTTATAACTCTATACAGTTATATGCATGTGTTTCCATTTTTGTTTTATATAAAATATGTACCATAGGGTTCCGATCTTTGGAATCAGTGGTTTTGCTTCATTTCTGTGATTATATAATTTAATCCTTGATTTTGATAAACAGATACTTTCTAATTTCTGTGTATTTGTTTTACAAAGCTAAGATTCAAGTACAAGGGAGTCCACTGACTTATCATTAAGTTTGAGAATTTTGGGGGGTGGTCTTTAGAAGACCTCTTTGGATAAATTAATTTCATTTTTATAGGGTCATCTCTGCAACAGAGGGATGGAAAGCTTGAAGGAGACCCTCCTGGAGTCACCCTGTTGTCTGTGACAAAAGAATATGAGCCCAACAAAGCAGCGGTCAAAGACCTCACTGTTACCTTCCACAGGAACCAAATCACTGCCCTGCTGGGCACAAATGGTGCAGGAAAGACCACAATTATGTAAGCCTCATTTTACCTGGGGAAAATAGTAGGCATTTTGATTTAAAAAAATGTTGGTTTACGTGTTAGCCTGGAGGCTTGAGCTCTGTACTTTTATAGTCTAGATACAGTTTCGAGACATAGAAGAAACATAAAGCCCTGTACTAGGTTTGCTCAGTGTCTACTTTGTAGACTTTGGGTAGAGAGTCCTTTGCTTGCTTCAGCCACGGTGGATCGATTTTTGTTTCCTTTAACTCTTCCTTTTCCCCCTCTAAATAATTAACCATTGTTTTGCTTTAGTGTGTACAAGTCCTATGACATTTTTAGTGTTATCTCCTCCTAGATTTAATTTTATTTGAATATCTACAGAGAGATGAAATACAGTTTTTTTGGCCAGTTTTTTTAAATATCTGATTATTTTTTCTCTTCACTTTCTCCTTTGGTACTTCCTCTTTCTTCTTTTTTTTGTTTTTTATTGTTAAGACTTAATTCTTAGTATAGCATCACATGGCTCCAAATTTGATTAAAGAATAGATTCATGTCATAACAAAGAAGTACTGAGCAATTGCTCATGAACAGCTTGCGTTTTGTGTTCATAGAACAACCCTGTACTGACTGTGGAAATGATGGTTTGATTAAGACTAAGTCACCAAAATTATTTCATTCTTCTTTTAAACAAATTATTTTCTTTTTGTTCTTTTTTCTTACTAAACACTTTGGACTGTAATATGATTAATTACAAGCAATGAAAAGGTCATTTGGCTTCACACTTAAAAAACCTTGTTGTTGTCATTAAATACCAGAAGCAGAAAACTTCATCTTTCTCTCACTGGTCAGCTTGAACTGTGCACCTTGGAACATAAACACATGTAATATTTCTTAGGTCTCAGATAAAAACAAATTGAAAGAAAATATACAGAAATGTTTTTGTCTTTTCTTGGATGCTGAAATAAAAGTGAGGAACTCTGAATTAATTGTTTAGTGTTTACAGATTATGAACACACAATCTTCACAAATAATGATTCAGAATACTGGTATTTTACATTGCACTTCTCCTAATATTGTGCCTTAGTCTTTTTTTACAACCAGAATTAGAAGTTTGGGTTTAGTAGAACAATGAGAATTAATTTTGGTCTTTCTCTTTCCAGACTTACTAACTACATGGCTCTTAGTGCAATTTGAAGTTCATTTTGAGACATTCTGAATGGTTATGTCTTTCTAGGAGTTTTTGGGTGAGAGGTTTACAGGCCAATTAATGCACCATCTTATGAGGTGGTATCCATTTAAAGTCTTAAGCTCATACAAAATGTGTACAGGCTTTTCTATAGTACCTCCAAACAGATTTTGAAAATATTTGTTTTGGGGTACTGTAGTCTCAATTTGCCTGCCCTCCTTTGGTCCTTGAATCCAAGGCAATCAGTGAGCTGCACTTTATCACTGTTAATTCATATTTTATAGAGTTTCACCTCTGGAATTCTAACTGACTGCCTTCACTCAGCATAATGATTTTGAGGTTAATTTACAGTGGTGTTGTGTCAGTATTTGTTTCTGATAAGTGCTGAGTAATATTTCATTACATGCTGTTGTTAAATGCCACTGAGTTGGTTCTGACTAATAGTGACCTCGTATAGGGTTTCCACGGAGCATCTGGTGAGTTTGGACCACCAGCCTTGAAGGTCAAATTGACCTTGCAGTCCAGTGCATTTTCCTGCAGTGCCACATCATGACTCCTTTATATAAGTGTATACAATTTGTTTATCCATTCATCAGTTGAAATCGGTTCTAGTGTTTTGTGATTATGAATAAAGCTGTGATGAGCAGTCACATATCTTTGTATGGTGCTGCTGCTGCTGTGTGCTGTGGATCGGTTCCAACTCAAAGTGACCCTGTACAAGGTTTCTGAGGCTGTAAATCTTTATGGGAGCAGAATGCCTCATCTGTCTCCCACGGAACATCTGGTATTTTTGAACTGCTGACCTTACGGTTTGCAGCCTGATTCATAACCATTATGCTACCAGAGCATATTTTTGTTCTCTTGAGTCAATATTTAGGAGTGGGATTCCTAGGTCCTATATAGAGCTGTGGGATAATGCACTGGACCACAAGGTCTGTTTGAACCACAAGGTCATCATTTCAATTTTATCTCCTGCTCCTCAGAAACCCTATGCAGGGTCATTCTGAGTTGGAACCAACTTGATGGCACTTAACAACAACAACAACATAGTAGATGTAAAGTCCCTAATGTAGAGCAATTGGTTTGCCATCAGCTACTAATTTAAAACTTGTCATTCCAATCCACCCAGCAGTACTATAAAAGGAAGTCCAGCATCCTGTTTCAGTAAAGATAACAGCAAAAACAAACAAAAAACCCCAAAACATATAAAGCAGTTTTACTCTGTAGCACATGTGGTTTCCATGAGTCAAAATCAAACTCAGTAACAATCGGTTTGGGTGTTTGTTTTTAAGATATAGTAGATGTATATTCAACTTTTTAGAAATAAGAAACAGTTTTAAATCATATGTAATGAACTTCCTGAAGCAAGGGAGTAGAACTAGGAGTCTTGAGGCTTCCCTTGGTAATGTTGTATGAGCAAGCTTGTAGTTACATGCACATGAGGTGTTACAGGGCTAACAATGGCAGATAGCAGGGAGGTAGGTAGCACAAAGAAACCTAGTGTCAGAGTATAGAAACTAGAATTGATGTTTTTCTTTGCCTTGTCTAACCATAAGTCCTTAGATAAATATATCATTTACTTAGCTTGTTTTTTCACCCATAAAAACAAAATTGGATGTAAAAATGTTAACATCCCATATAGCTATAATGGTGTCTATGATTTCAGTATATCTTCCGAGGAGTATAAACCTTACTGCTCTCAGCCCGTATTTCCAGGGTTAAACTAGCCAACATTCCCCTACACGCCTCTCGACTCTGATCTGACTTACTGGGTAGAAAACAGCTTATACACTTCTCAAGATGCAGTCATAGCATTGCAGTTGACTAGGGTATTGATGTTCAGAGCAGCATGTGTTCTCTCTGTTGATTTCATTTTCTCTGGTAGATCCATGTTGACGGGACTTTATCCTCCTACTTCTGGAACTATCATCATCAATGGCAAGAACCTGCAGACAGACCTGGCCGCTGTCAGAATGGAGCTGGGCGTGTGTCCTCAGTATGATGTCCTGTTTGACAACCTGACAGTTCTGGAGCATCTGGTGCTGTTTGCATCCATCAAAGCACCACAGTGGACCCAGAAAGAGTTACACCAGCAAGTCAATAAGTCAGTAATGCTCATCTCTCTCTGCCTCCTACTGTCTCCTCTGTGTTTAAATAAGTGAAGAATATAGAAAGCGAAACTGTAAAATAACCCCCAAAAATTTAGCTGATGGTTCTTAGCCATGGAGTTATGACATCCATTCACACTGAAAATATCAAAGGCTTCTGATTGGATTAGATTTGGATTGTCCTTGAAATGGGGAAGAGATTGCCCAATGGGTGGAAAATAGGGTTCAGATGGTGTTCTGAAATGAAAAGATTGCAAAGGTATGCTGGAAAAATGGTTGTAAAGAGCCTAACTAGTCATGCTAAGGAGTTTGAATTTTGTTGTACAAGTAAGTATTTGTGAACATTGGATTGTGATCAGCTTGAGATTTTTAAGATATAACCAGTTATACCATAGGAGATACCATAGCAATGGAAGAGACTAGAAGCAGAGAAGCCACCAAAATCAAGACAATGGTAACCTTTTTTTTATGACAGAGACAGTGGAGATGGAGAGGAAGGGTCATATTTGAAGAATTTAGATGACAGAACTACTAGATTATCTTCCCCAACTGGATGCACAAGGTAGGGAGAGGAAGAGTCTGGATAGACCTTGAAGAATGGGTAGGGTCCTCACCAGTCCAAAGGGAAGACTGAAATCATTTCAGGAAGTAATAGCATAAAGAAAATCTAGAGTAGAAGACATTTGCATAGAGATAGGTGGAAAAGAAGTGGAGTATCCAGGACCAGTCATCAATGCAGATGAAATCATCTTCCATCATTGGAAATAATAGAAGTTCAGACCAGATGGAGAAGGAAGAAATTGTAGGTTCCAGGTTAGAACTAGGTAGTGTGCAAAGGAGATGAGTTCAGAAGGATGGTTTCCAAGGAAAGGGGGGCAACTAAAATTAAGGTAGGATACTAGGTTGGAAAGCGTAGTGGTTACGAATCGGGCTGCGAACCATAAGGTCAGCGGTTCGAAACTACCAGCCGCTCCGCGGGAGAAAGATGAGGCTTTCTACTCCCGTAAGGATTTACACCCTCGGAAACCCTGTACAGGGTCGCTATGGGTCGGAACCGACTCGACGGCACTTAACAACAAAACAACAACAACTAGGTTGGAAGCAGAAATCCAGTGGAGGTGCCATTGATTCAGAAAATAATGGTAGTTAAGTGGTGGCTCAGTGGCTAAAATGTTTTGCTGATAGCCAAAAGGTTGTTGATTTGAATTCACCAGCCTCACTGTGGAAGTTTGTTTCTGTAAAAATTTACAATCTTAGAAACCCTATTCTGTCCTATTGCTGTGAGTCAGAATCGACTTGATGGCAGCGGGGCTTTTGATTAGGTGTGAAGTCCACCTAGTCCATGCTGAACTCTGCTTTCTCAAGAAAGTGGATGTTTTATGGGCTAGGGCTTTTTTCTTGGCATCCACAATTGACTGCCTTTGCCAAGCAGAACATGATCTGAAAATGAACATGCAAGTGAAAGGTGCTGCCTTGAGGCAAATGTGTAAATATAAATGTTAATTAGTTATAGAACCAATACACTCATCTAAGAGCATGTGACTTTTAATGAACATGTTACTAATTATTATTTAAAATTTTTTTCTTTGCTCTTTTTTCACAACCATCTTTTCTTTTTTTTTGAAAAATCTTTTTATTATAAATTCAGTGACAGTTTACACAGAAGATCATCAGTTTTACATTCAACAAATCATATACTTTATTTCATTTCAGTGATTGCAATCCCCTCCTGGCCCCCCACTTCCTCCCTGTGATTATTATTTCCATTCCACCCATGTTCCCATTCCTTCTCATCTTTGTCCTTAGGTAAATGTTGCCCTTTTGATTTCTAAGGATTGACTATTCCATAGTGACTGTACCTTAGTAGCGTTGTTGTTCCCCCTCTATAACTACTGCTTAGCTGAATATTGGACCATGAGGGTGAGTTCCTTCCCAGACTTGAAGGGTGGTTGAGGGCCATAATTTCAAGTTCTTCCAGTCTCTTTTTGACTAATAAGCCTGGTCATTTAAAAAAATAAACATTTTTCAGTTTTGTTCCACATATTCTCCCACTCTATTCAGGGCATTTTAATGTGATCCTTTTAAACCAGATGGTAGAGATAGTTGGGCACCATCTAGATCTTCTGGCCTCAAAGTCATGGAGACTGGTGATCACATGTTCCATTAGTCCATTGGACTAACTGATTCCAAACATCTTAAATTCACATCACTCTTTTATCTTCTGCACATGGAGAGAGCAATGTTGTTGTTGTTAGGTGCCATCGAGTCAGTATCGACTCATAGTGATCCTATGCACAACAGAATGAAACACTGCCTGGTTCTGGGCCAACCTCACAATTGTTTCCACACTTGAACCCATTGATGCAGCCACTTTGCCAATCCATCTTGCTGGGGATGTTCATCTTTTTCTCTGACCCTCCACCTTACCAAACATGCTATCATTCTCCAGTGACTGGTCTCTCCTAACAACATGTACAAAGTATAAGAGACAAA